TGATTTTCCACCAACTTTATGGGCAGATAAACCATCCGAAGAAGCTAGAACAACTAATGGTCCAGAATCTTTTCATATGCACTATAATTCGTAGTTTTATACCTCGCATCAGTCGCATCCATCTACTTTCCAAGTAATAAACATATTATTAGGTATTCAAACTGATACCTATTTAAAAATAAATAGTATTAAACGTAATAAAAATTACGAAAAGAGCAAGAAAACAATATTAAATTTATAATGAATACTTGGGAAAAATTTAAAAACAACAAAATATCATGAATGACTATTTTCAATCAATGGGACCACGTTTTTGTGCTAGTCATTAAATGTAATTTTTAAAATCTTAATATTATTATTACATTTATAACGGATTATTTTTATATGAACAAAAAAAATATCGACTATTGACTATGTCTGTATATACATTAAACATACGTCATGTAATTTAGGAAAAAACAATTTTTAACCAAGCTAACGATGATAATTTGTTGACAGTCCTAAGCCTGCAATAATTGGGAAGGAAAATTGTGAATTAATTATTTATTTTTAATTTAATTGATTAATTATTTTATGTTCTACATTTCTACATAAATTATTATACATAGCATTTACTATAGTATATATTATATATGGTACTATATTATTTAATATATACACTTATCATTTGGTATGTAATGGTGTTGTAATTTTAGCAGGTAAAAAAGGATCGGGGTGCAATCGTGGTGTAATTAGTCGGGTCAAAAAAAGAAAAATTGCGCAATCGTGTAACACCGAATATGTGTACCTACCTATATAATCTATATTTATTTTTTTTTACGTATTCATCAAAAACTCTTATCGAAACTTTTGTAATATCACTTTCTTTATTACATTTATTAATCACGCCTATTGTGAAATAAATTAAAAATTATTCAAATATTCATATCTTTAGTAATTAAGAACAATCGAAACTGAATTTTTTATCATTATKACGTAATTGTTGAATCAAGTTTTATCTTAAATCAATTTGAACTAACAATTAACATTGTTAAAGTTGAAATTAAAATCGTTTAACTACATAGTATATTAAGGAATTACATATTTGAAAATGTGTAAGCATATTATATATTAGTTAGGCTCGCCCCCATCCCCTTTAGGATTTTTGATACTTTCCTACTATATGATATTATACTGTATAACAGCGGTCCTCAAACTTGTTTGTTCGTAGAACCCATATGTTGCAAAMAAAAACTTAACGAGACCCAAACATTTTAAATCCTCATAAAATTTACATAATTCATAAAAATCTAATATCATTTTCGACCAAAAAATATATATTTTAGATTCTGAGCTGAGCGAGGAATGTATTGATTTTATCATAATGTTTTTTTCGTTGTGTCTGTCATCACGTTTTGGGGCAGTAAAAGTGTTTTGATTTTCTACTTCAGTACCTCGTTCGATCAGAAAGTGAAACTAGTTGTACTTTGGGGGATCAAAAACGAAAAATTCCCAATATTTTTCTAAATAATTAGGATAAACAAACTAAAAATTAAGGAAAAAACGGGAATTTTTATATACAATCAATTATCGACAAAATCGATTTTGGTTTTTGATGTAACTTTAAAACAAATGACCATTGACACTTGAAGTTTTCACCRTATGTTCTATTCACCATACATTTTTCAAAACATTTCGACTATTTATAGACATACCTATGCAATTTTTGATAATTATTAGTTTTTTTTAAAATTAATATCGATACAAATTTATTTGTTGGGTAGAAAAGCTTGAAAATTATGTACAAGGCTCCTAACATATTGTTACAATAGCAGTTGAAAAATAAAATAAATACATAGTCACGATTGCAATTGCAGCTGCATCATCAGGAATTGCTGCTACGCTTTTACATGGAGGAAAAACTGCTCATTCTGATTTCAAGTTACCACTCAATTTGAACACAATCAAGACCTCAACGTGCAATATTAATAAACAATCAAATTTGGCGAAAGTTCTGAAAAAATGCAAGCTCATAGTTTGGGACGAAAGTCCAATGATGTCTCATAAGAAAGGATTTGAAGCTTTAAACAACTGTCTGAAGGATCTGAAAAATTCGAAGTTATTGATGGGAGGAGTCACGGTATGCTGGCTGGAGATCTTCGACAAACTCTACCAGTCGTACCTTGGTTCTCTTGAGAACTCAAGCTAATGAAATTGCAGCCTGCATCAAGTCTTTATATTTGTGGCCTCTAATAAAAAATGTTATTTTGACTATAAATATGCTAGTACATTTAAAAGGAGATAGGACTACTAACCAGTTTTCAGAGTTAGTATATCCACGACTCACGAGTTTAGTTATTTCGGCACCAACAGAAATTAAAGCTAATGTAGTTTATAGATAAATATTATATTAACTATAAAAATCAGCTTAATAAACAATTAATATAATATGACATATTTTTTAAATAATCTTATTTAACTAGACAATATTTAATCTTACCATATAACAACAATTAATAAACCCAGCAACGACGGGTAATTCAGCTAGTATATATATATATATATATTATATATATACGATAGAAATATATTATATTTTAATATGTATTTCGTCACAATTTAAACTTCCACTGACTGTTAAAAAACTGTGTTAATTAATTTTTTAGATTTTTTGGTGGTAGTATTAGCCATTTATGGGAATTTTCAAATATCATTAACAACAACTTACAAGCTAATATTATTTGAAAATTCCATATGCCTGAAAATACCTAGTTCAACACTAGTTAAAATATTTTGAAAATGTTATGGTGTTAAATTAAATATAGACATTCGGTGTAAATTTTATGTGTGGTTCATTTTTTTTAGAGTTACACCAAAAACCAAAACTAATTTTGTAAAAATTAATTTTGCGTAAAATTCTCAGTTTTTCTTAATTTTTCATTTGTTTTTCTAGACGCTTTTGAAAACTATTGTAAATTTTTTACTTTTGACCCCTTAAGTACCAATTAGATTCACTCTTTTATCAGAAAAGAGGCCGTTGAAGCATTTCAACTGTCCCAAAAGGTAATGACAGATAAATAATAATTATAAAATAAAACGCATTATTGTAAAATTAATACCTACATTCATTGGTCTGCTCAGAATTTCATAAAAACATTTTAATTGTGGCAATAGGTATTGATAACTTTAATTATACATTTTTAGGATTTCTTGTGCAATAAAAAATGTCAAATTCTTTTAGGAGTATGAAGATGTACTAACCGAAGTGGCGTCGCCGATGTAACTGTAGGCGGTCATGGTCATCAAGGTTTGGCCACCAGTCAAGGCCAATGGTATCGTCTCAGCGACGCCGGCCACTTCCATGGGCAGCTGATAGAAGTAGTAGACGCATAGCAGTTGTCCCGCGTTTCGGGCCAGTTCACCATACAGCGGTATCAACATGCACGGAACGCGCTTCCGCGTCCGGTCGCTCCAAGCGCCTACCAACAGCATGAGCACGCACGGCAGCACGTTCTGTGCACACGTCTGCCACATCATCATGCCGGTGACCAGCTTTTGGACGGTCACTTCGTCTACCGGATAGCCACCCGTGGTCTTCGTCACTAGCGCCTCGCACGTCTCGTCGGGCAGCTGGAGGTTCACGCGGCATGCCTTCTGCAAGTTCAGGTTGGAGACGGTGAGCGTGACCATCGTGAACGCTGTCATGTAGCACGCGACCACCGGTTCGACGGTGACACCACTACAGAACCGCCGCCACACTGACTCCGTGGCCGGCTGGTAGCTCATGTTGACAGATTGACCGGCACTACGTCTACCGGATTGGACGGCGTGTAAGATGTGTAATCTATCTATATATATTATATATATATTATATAATGTAATAATAATAATAATAATAATAATAATAATAATAATCTATTACATTTACATATTATTATAAAGAGGTAACATTTTCTTGTATTTTCTTGTATTACAGGGTTATCTCAATAACTATCACTAATCACTATTGAACCGCTTCTAAACATTCTTTCACTTAAAGAAAGCTATACCATCTTTGAGTAACATACTTATTTTATTTAAGTACATATTATTATTGTGTATTGAAATGTCTTTTATTTTCAAGATAACTTTGGAAACTACCTATTGGCTAGTTTTACATGTGATTTTTTTTATTTATTATGTAGATAATTTCTTGATCATGAACCATATTATATTATATGAGAACGGTTGTATATCATATCTCACACTTCCGATGGCCAGGTTTGCGGAGTTTGATTTATAATTTTGTTATTAATATAAAACATTGCGGCTATGATGCTATATAGATATATTTCGATTTTAGTGTACACTAGATAATTGACAATTCTTTGGTGGTAGATTGGATATAGCACATAGTAGTTAGTATAACTTACTGTCGTAGGCATAAAGTCAAATCAAGTATTTTACTAARTTCCAAGGCAAATGGTCAAAAAATTAAATTTTTATGCAATTTCACTATCTACATAAACATTTAACTAAACGCCTATTTCAAGTCAGACAAATAATAAAAATGTTAAATTTTCCAGAAAATTCCATTAAATAATAACTTGTTATAATAAGTAATGACTTGAATTTAACGAAGAAATTTTGTAACTATAATATCATTTTTTATAATTTTTATACTCGTAGCAATGGACACGAAATTAAAAATATTTCATATATCTATGTATTTTAAATAATCATAAATAAAACAATTTTTTTATAGAAAATAGAAAATTTACCTAATTAAATTTTTTAAATAGGTAATAGGTACAATATGTTTTATTTTTATTATTTGTTCTGACTTGAAATAAGTATCTAAACTTAATGTCAACACTAAATGTCTAGATGGATAGTAAAATTGCATGAAAGTTCAATTCTTTGACTATTTGAATGCCTGATTTGACCATACGCCTACGATAGATATTATCTATGGTATAAATCGAAAATGCTTCAATCTACTCTCAGAATTTTCGTAATTTCTCTAAGAAAAATTTGAATTTTTCACAAAATTCGTCAAGTTTTTAAGTATATAAGCTACAAACATACATGCAACTCTCATATTTGTTTTAAGATATGATTTCTTATTCGAGGTATAAGGAAATGTGCTTTTACTTCATTTTTCCGAGTAACTATAATGGCAACCATTTATATACAAAAATTATACTAATATATATCTGTAAAATATAAACAATGATAACCATTAAAAAAAACTGCCAAATCGGTTCAGCTGTTTTTAAGTGATTACCAACTAACAACATTTAAATTTAATAAAAGTTTCAGTATCAGAAAAGTTTAGAAAATAATTTAAGCTACGTTAAAAATATAGCATATTATGTTTTTTATTTATTTATTTATATATATTTAACGCCAATCGGCAGTTAACAATAATACATATTATGTAGTAAATAACATTTAAATAAAAAATTAACAGTAGGTAATAAAGCATTAAGAAATCTATAACAAAAACAAGAGCCTACAATGTATAAATGATAAAAGTAGCCTCAGAATGCAACCAAAACAACTAGGGCACATTTAGTTTAGTAACTTTGAGCATTCTGTGTAAAAGGATGATTGTAACCATAGGTAGTTAGAGTGATGGGGAACATAAAACTGGTCTAGGTTTCGTATTCCACAGGCAGGAACTTTGAATGGAATTTCAGCAAGTAAATTGGGAGCGTCTAAGGTACCATTTAGAAAGGAAGTTAAAAATTTCACATCCAYATCGGTTATATTGCTATGTTATATTCAATCCGCAGACTYATTTCTCATCTCAGTAGAATCAGCTCACAAAKCGAGGTAATTAGAAGACTTAATGTTCCCGCAAAATGAGGTAAGTACACTAAGACAGARATACACCCATTCAGAATCCAAGTCTGAGATTTAATTTAAAATACACAACGATGAACGATTGTAACTTGTTACTTATTAGACATACTTAATTAATGGRCCTGTGACAATCTGTAACCTATCACATAACATTTAGGTTAAGTATATACTGTATAACACCTATTAAGTTAGGTTGACTTAATATTATAAGTTAAAAGTTACCTTATTTCAATCGACTATTGCTCCATTTAGATGGCATTAGGTTTTTGACAGTGACGGTAATTTGACAATCAAACGTTTCATAAAATTTTTAACATGAAAAACATTGTGATATATGGATATGTAATTTTTTTTTTGGTTAAAAAAATTCTTAAAACGTAAACAAATTTAATCGTTAAAATGTAAAATAAACAGTTGGCGAGTGRCCTGGACACAGTTGTAAAGCCAACTAGATAACAGTACACTATATCGTTTATAATATAGTTTATTAGTCTAAATAAAATGTATGACTGTATATAATATATGTTTAGAATGCTATGTAGGTATATGGTGTATATATGGTATACATGGTGTGCTGTGGTATTTTATTGTTTTCCTTTATCAGTTATTTTAATGATTAACTATCAATAAAAAAACCAATGCTCATCACGTACAATCTGCGAACCATAGGATACTCCTCCCTCCCCATTCATCCATTCTATACATCTAACGTTTCGCATCTTCTTTTCTTCTTACTTACTTAATTTTAATGCTATAAATGAGTATCGTTCATTTTATTTATTTAATAGTTTAACAACAGAAAGGAAATATTATATATGTTTTGAAAAACGCATTCCAAAGATAAGTTTGATATACTTTATAATAAATAACTGAGATATATATATATTTAAATAATAAATAATCAAGTCAACATAAAAAATTCACGTATAATATTATAATGTAAATAAATGTCGGTTATTTTTCCACACAATATCATTATTATATTATTTATATTATTATTTATATTTATTATATATAATATTTCGTATCTAGGTATTTTTACATTCTTCCTATTATAGTCTGTTTTAAAAGGCATTCTTTGTTGTGAAGTAAATAATGGGATACGACTTTATTAATCAGGTGTGTTATATCATTGTTTACAAACTTCTCTGTTTACTACGGTAAAATATAATATTTTTATATTTAATCATATCATTGTGTATGATTCAATGATTGTATGAAATGTTGAGTTAGCAGTTAGGTTATTAGTGTTATTACATAAGTAATAAATGTGAAGTATGTATGTATCACTGATTATTGTAATTAATTAGCTATTAGCTACTTTTTACTAAGTAGATATAAAATAATGGCTGGATGGTCCTTATTGTTTCATTGTCTATAGTTATTCACTAATTATTCTAAAATAATGAAAAACACAAATTAATAGATTTATTTGACAAATAAATTTGTAAAAAATTCTATTAAACGATAAATCTATGGAATAAACTCAACTTTTGTTTAATTAATGYGATGAAATAATATATTGGGAACTTAAACCTTCTACAAATAGACAAGGAATGAGTGCGTGGAAAGCGTAACAACATAGATGGTGATTTTTTCTTACTCGTTTACTCATTATTTATGGAAGTGTGGAGYTGTWAGGTAAGATATATAGATTATAGATGACGTATAGAWTATTTTATTGCTGTCGGAACGGCTTACATCGCTGCGAGATGTTTGTATGCAGCTTATTACATATGTGTTAATTATGAGATTTGAAATATAAAATATAATATACTCATAATCATACTGCAGTGCTAAATCATCGAGTTAGTTTTAAGAGACCTAGTAACAACTAACAAATATGATAGCGATAGGAAGATRGATAACTTCARAGTTGATTTCTTGAGAGGCCATGAAAAAAAATACAATACTAAATGATTATTATAGTTTTATAATATATAATTTTACTTTAAATTGAATTACATGCAATTAAGAAGTAAAGCACGATAATAATCTTTCCGGTTTTAYAGTCATGTAATGCAAATGTACWGGTACAGTTTCCGTTTATATATACATATATATTTTTTATCTCTAACAATAAATGATAACAAAGGCTATCAGGCCATTAAATTTTCTAACGAATTTTTTAATATAAAATGATTTCTATATTTTATCGCTAAATAAAAAAAGTCTTTTAAAGTTCTGATTATTCGGGACTTTGATAAAAATAATAAATTAATATTCTATCAACTATTTATTAACAAACTATGACTTTTTCTACATTATCAATAAGCAGTTGCTGTACAGTGTACATTTCTTAGTACAAAAGATACATCAGATGAAATGTTTACAAAATTTGCATATAATTTTATAATTAAATACATATAGAATAATATAGGATAAGGTCATTGTTTTTTAAGGAAAAATAAAATATAATACACGTTTACAAGATATCCATAAAAAATTTCAAAAATTTCAAATATATATATATATATATATGTATTGTAAATTGTTCAATATCTTGTGTACAAAATATTATTAGAGACTTGATAAACTCAACCAAATTTAAGTACATGGATGAATGGCAAAACCTTTGGTCGAAATGTGATAACAATAAACTAAGGGAAATAAAACATTCGATACTACCATGGCCCAAATCATTTGAGATGTCTATAAGATACGAGGTAATTCTTGCCCGCCTACGAATAGGCCACACGCGTATGACTCACGGATATCTCATGGCCAAAGAAGACCCTCCATTATGCCTGACGTGCGGAACAATCATTACAGTCAAGCATATACTGACAGAATGTCGTAAAATCAGTGAAAGGCGCATTGAACTAAAACTACCTGAGACACTATACAAGATGGTATCACCCACTCCCGAGACAACCAAAAAACTCCTCAATTTCGTCAACTCAACAGAACTGCGTCAACTGATTTGAATATTCTAACTTAAATTAAAATGTAAATCTTTAAATATAGGTAATAAGTAGAAATTAAGCAAGTATGTAAGAAATKTATGTAACRCCGGCTAATAACCATGCAGTTGATGCCATAAACAATTAATAATAAAAAAAAAAATATTAATATAAATATTTTACGAAAATTTCAAGTGTTAATAGCTGTTCATTTTTGAATTAGTATGAAATAAGAAAGCTTTATCAAAGATTAGCTTTGAGTGGAAATTCTAGTTTTCCATAATTTTTTTTGTTTTTCTAAATTATTTAGAAAAGTATTTAGACTTTTGAATATTTACTTCAAGTTATAGCTAGATTAGTTTTCTTACAAAAACAGATACTRAAATTGAAAATTGAAACAATTTTATGATTTTTATCGTTCTGCTCAAAATCTCTCAAAAGACAAAARATCATGCATGTCAAAGATATGAAACCTATATTATTGTAAGCTGATTTTTTTTGTAAGTTCACGAAACACTGATATGTATAAATTAATGCAGTTATGCCRTTTTAATTGATATGTAGAAAAATTAAGATATCCTGCTTTTATAATAAATAAGCTGTTTTAATTGCTTAGTTTACTTAAGCAACTATTTTAATGTACAAAGTCCGAAATATTATAGATATGTATCACAAACATAAGTGCTTACAGAGGTTTTTTTTTATTCTAGATAAAAAATAAACTTCGWCATCATAGCTATTGGGAATAGGTGCTTACAAATTATAAAACTGTTTTACAGGATTTTTAAAATATAAGTAATTTATAATTATTCATTTAAAATATACCTAAATATACTTATCTAAAAAGGCCTAAAAACGAAATAAAAAATAGTTGGTTAACATATTGAAAAAAGTTTTAAAAATTAAATTCATTGTTGCATAATTTAACTGCAGTACCACTAAAAATGTTAAGTCTTACATGAGCTCAAAAATCCATTTTTTTACAAATGCATTAGTTATAACAAAAAACCATAATCCTACTGATACAACGATACCTAATCTAATCTCATACTTTTATTAGGTAGTATTTTTTGAAAAGAAAATTACAGTCAAAATTATTTACATTTACATTTATTGATATCTTAACTATAATGATCAATTATAGTAATAATAATTTTAAACTGTTAACGATGGATCAGAAATTCTCCACCGTAATTTATCTTACGAAGGGTAATAGAAACAATATTCTCAAAATAATATTATTTTCATTATATTTTATATGTCTATTTTGTTTCTTCAAAATAATAATGATTATTTGGAGCAGAGGATGAACGTGTTGATTTTACAATATTATGTGTGTATGTGTATTTTTTTGGTTTTTTTTTTTGGGGGGGGGGGAGGTGTAGACATGATATAAATAGTTAAAATACCACTTTGTCTATAAGTAATATCTGTTAGTTCTTTAAAAGCCTTTAAATAAATAATATTAATAAAATGTAAATACAGTATTCATATTGACTGAATTGAACGACGTAAATTGGCTTTCAAGTACCTACGAAACATTATTATTTCCCTTAATAACTATACAACTTTTTAGTATCTTATTTTTAATAAAAATAAGTAAAATATATTTTTCTTCGATGCTTCCACGTTGATGATCTCCAATCTCTATCATGTTTAACTTTCTGCGAATAATCCCATTGACAGATGCCATCAGATGCAAACCATTACTTCAAGCTTCAAAGTTTGKTATTCTCAAGTTTTACAGATTTATCATCGATTTTTTGAGATTGTTTGCTTTCTTTGTACATCCATCTATTTTGTAAATCAAACAAATTATTATTAATTTTAACTGTATTGATAGTAAAATAATTTTGTTAATTGTTTACAATGATGCATTTTTTTGTCRATAAATACATCTTTTGTTAATAATTTCAATTTAGCTTATTATTTACAGCTATACAGGTTAAACATTTAAGAATTATAAGATAGATTTGACAAATATTATTTTGAATAAACCTCTTTTCACTCATTTATAACAATTTATTAGCTCAACTATATATGAAAATATAACATACCGACAATTGGAATTAGACAATTTATATTTTAACTAAAATTTAACCATATGATTTAGCCATACAAGCTGCTCACATCTATGTGGATTACTTACAAGTATATTATAGTCGCCGGTATGGCTAAAGTTGATCCTATTAAACTGTACGCTCCGGGTAACGTGTCCACTGTATTTTTGTAGATCACAGTGTATAGTGGACCGAACACAATAGGAACAAGAGATTCGACGATGCCGTAAATAGCCGTAACTTGTCCTATATATTTTAATATTATATYAATAACTAATAGTATGGGAATTTTAAAATGTATAGAAGAAAAATTTACAAAACAAAAATTCTTACCTAATTCATCGGGTCTAACTATTTTTGCCATAATTGATCTCGCTGTTATGAAAATTGTGCCTCCCATTATGTCTACTAATGGCCCTGAAATCAATAATATTTTTACATTAAGCACTTTTTTTGTACCACTTTATCACTATGGTACTATTATACTAGTAAATGTTATTTGGTCATTTGAATTTTGTTTGGTCCTCGTCAGAACAGCAGTTGAGCGTCGTATTATTTGTAAACAATAACACACACAATCACTTTGGAAAACGATTATAAATTTATAAGTTATGGTAATTTAATTTAACTGTTTATTGTATAATACCTATATAGTATCTATTCATATMAGTATGCACTGTGCATAGAAATCAGAATATCAGCGATTTACCATTAAATTGAAATTATTGTAATGATTTTATTAATATATAATTCTACCCACGTGCGACGAGAATGAAGTGCTCTGGGGTAAAGAAATGATATTCATTCACTGTACCCTTCAGTATGTTAATAAGTGATTAAATAATAGTTTTCGAGTATAAAGTACACACCCAAATAGTATACCCATTCTTCTGTCGCTAAAGCATAACATATTCCGGCAACAATTTTTCCTGCACACGCCATCACTCCAATCAAACTATCGTCAATTTTAAGCACATGGCTAAATAAGCCAATGCAAATTGCTGTACCTAAAATATAATACAATATCTGTTTTTATAAAAAGTATATATTTATATATTTAAACGTTGAAATAATGTGAGATAGTATAATTTATTTTTTATAACAGCTGATTTTAATAGACTAGCATTTTTAAAATTATTTATTCAAAATAATAAATATAATTATGTTGTATTGTCAAATTGTATTTTTCATAGTACCTAAACTATAATAATTATTTAATTATTAAAAAATTTAGCGGGCAGCGGTTGTGTTAAGCTTTAGCACTCGAAATTATGGAAGATATGAAAATAAAATTGAATATTCYAGGTATTATTCTGTACAATTAATGTCGTTATTTAGAGTTATATGCGATTTACTTTCAAAAATAGTAATTTTTTTCGGAATTTTTTACTTTTTTAAATTTAATAATTATTTTTTCTTTTCTAGTGGTGTATGAAAGATGTTGAAGATCCATACCTATGACTTTTTATTGTAAGTATTTAAAATTAAAAATTAAAATTTCGTAAAATATATTAAAATCTCGAAAATGTCAATGTAAAATATTTTGCGGTTAAAAAATTATGAAATTTTAAACTATTATAGGTAAGGTTATATGGACTTTTTTAAATAATTTATAATGGTATCAAAAAATCGATAAATTTTAAATCAACTACTTATGTTCTATGTTAAAGAAAATATAACACAAAATTCATTTTTGGCAGTTACATTTTTGAATTGTTTCAAAAGTTTAAAGTTAAAATCGTTCTTTTGAACAATTACGAAAATTTCACAATATAATGTGAGAACTATGCCATTTCCATTGATATTGTGTAATATCAATTGAAAACTTAGCTTAATGCCTACCAAAAAATATTGCTTAGGTTAGGTTAACTATCATTTTGGTCCAAAAAATTTGGGTTTTAAAATTACCTGCTACACTAGTGACCATGGAGAAAGTAGAAAATACACTGAAATCCACTTCATTCCATTTGAATCGGGCACGTGTATTCAAATACGATACTGAAAGATCACCTGTAAGTTGCGTGCAACTTTAGTATCATTAGAATAATAAATAATAAATTCATCATTGTTATAATATATGTACTAATGTTATACTTGTATTTAGTTTTTACAACTTCATTATTTACTAGATACCTATCAATACAGTTTCTTAGTTACTCGTAAGAGTATAAATATGTAAATAAAATTGTCTACTAACCATTTAAAGGTCCCATAATTAAAAACGCAATACACAGTAACATGATTATCCTGAGTTTTCGATTATGTGGCCCGTCYTTGAACGTGACTTTAAACGCTTCTTGAATGTGTTTTGCGTTAAAAAAACCATTAAACAAACCATTATTTCGTGTCTGTGTTATTGAATTTTCTGGTTCGTTCGGTGACACTTCTTTTATAAATACTAGACCATAAAGAAGACCTATTATACATAAGGCCGAAGATACACCGTACACACCATAGAACCCCAGCTTCTGAAATGTAATACCAGACAACGCTGTACCGATGGCCATGCCTACTGTGGATAGTAAGTTGACTATACCGATTCGTAGAGTTTTCATTTCCTCCTGAAAACGTAATATACATATTTAGTATATTTATATTAAATTATCACATATTCACATCACCGATACCTATTATTAATTATTATTATTATTATTGGCTGGCACTTTAACAATCGGAACAAAAAAAAACTAATGGCAYTATTATTTTTTGTCCTGGCTGTACGTATCCATATGTTAAATTCCGAGGTGTTATAAGTTTAAATGTATTTAAGTCATATCATATCATGATATTTTTTGCATATTGAAGTTGAATTCAATTATTTATTGTTTTCAAAATCTATAACTAATTAAGTTTGAGCAATTTYACTAAAAAATTATCTGTTTGGTATTAATTCATAAAAGTGCTTAAGTCCTTATTAATGTCAATATTAATTAATTGATTATTATCAAATAAACAAGGAATTTCATTGTGTAAACTTGAAAAAACCTATAGTTACAAGCAAAACATGTTTTTAAGCAATTTCATTGATCATTTTCTCTATTTAGCATACAATTCCTAATTAATAAATTAATAACTATCAAATAAATGATTTATTTGTGTAAAAATAATTGTTTTAATTGCATTTTTTTTATTCGATTTTTTCACGATTTTTATTGCAAAATAATTTATGCGGTCATACTCCATATACTCTATATTCTGTAGAGGTACTGAAGACGTGGTAAACTTACACCGGTGACATCGGCGACATAGCTGAACATCGCGTTGAACAGAACCATCCGACCGCCGGCCAGTGATGTGGGCACCGCCTCGACGAGGCCGACCACTTCCATGCGGAGTTCGCTGAACCAGAAGACGCAGGCCACGAGGCCGACGATGCGGACCAGTTCGCTGRCCACCGGTACCAGCATGCACGGCACGCGCTTTCGGCGCCTGTCGCTCCAGGACCCGATGAACACGGCCAGCGCGCACGGCACAGTGCTCTGGACGACCAGCTGCCACGAGAGCATGTCGGCCACCAGCCGCTGGGTGGCCACCTCGTACTGGTGCAGTGGCTCGCTGGCGTTCGTCTTTGATTTGGCCAGCAACGCGGCGCACGTGTTATTGTCAAGATGGAGGTTGACCGAGCACGCTTTTTGCAGGCTCAGGTTCTGCGTGGCCAGCAGTATGAGCGTCCGGGACACGATGTAACAGCACACCAGTGGTTCCACGTGGATCGCGACCAGCACTCGTTTGATTCGCGACCAGACGGTCACTTGCGCGTCCTGCAGAGGAGTGTCGCCGTTTCGGTCACACGAATCCTTAGACATATTATCGGCGTGGTTGTCACTGCAGGTCATTCACCGTAGTTTGTTTTCCTCTGTTGTCCGTCTGTTTTCAAGACTACCACATTTGACCAACTTGAAAACCTTAACAAAACACGTGGTCAAATGATATGTAGGGGTTGACGATGGTATTTCAATAATACAATCGATGAGACGTGTATATGCTGCAGAAACGTCCCTCTAAAAGTAGTTACAATTATTCAATATCATGATGGGCTAAGTTTTTTTTTTCATATGACGGTAAAATGTATCATGTGACAATTTATGGTTTTCGCGGAAATGGTAATCCACAAATTTATAATTTGGAGGGAAAATAAATCGTCGTAAAAAAGAAAGGTATACTGTTGGCAGAAACGGGCAACACCCTAACCGGTCAACTATATTACGTTTTAAATGGTAACTATTAAACGTTGTCTGGGGACAAATAAACTTTACCACCCCCTCACAAATTTCAYTATTTTTTTTTTAAAAAAAGACGTAATTTTCAACGCTGATTTTTAAGCTGTTTGAATTTTTTTTCGGAAACCATTATTTTGGAAGTTAAGTTATAGCCTTTCAAAGTTTAAGATTTTACATTTATACGCATGCGTGCAACAATACTTCCACGCGCAGTACCTACGAATTTTGATTTTTTTTAYGTAATAACTAAATAGTTAAGAACATGCTTATTATAATTGATAAGGATAACTCGATCGAAAGCCTAAGTTAAAAMATTTTAAATTCAAATTGACATATAAAATATATATTAATAAGCAATATTATCAGTTTCTTCATCATCTTTTGTACCGCTTAGTTAAAGTAACACAAGTATATTAAAGTGACTCTCTTCACCTAACGGCTCCGGTCACCTAACGGGATCCATAGGACATCTTTCTCGACCCTCAAACTCAAATGGGGTAAA